TGTTTTTGAGCTCGAGTTCGACTTAATTAGTTCAAATTCGACTCGAGCTCGATATTGACCGAGATCGAGTCGAGCTCGTACTTGAGCTACTCGCGAACGGTTCGATTCGTGAACACCCCTACGACTAACTAGCATTTAGGGGTCAAAACTAGTAAATATGTATACTTAAGTAACATTACGGGCCATAGCGATAGACTGGATTTAGAGGCAAAACTGGTAAATATTTCTACAATAATAAAACGGGAGCGAGAAGAGAAGTTTAGTTTGGCGTAAATAATTAAGTATCATTTTTTGTAATTCTAATTTTATTCTTCAAATTAACTATTAACCAATAAACGTACATATCTGTAAAACTTATTTGCTTAACTACTAATATATTACAATTTCTTAAATTACACAATTGCAAAACTATTTTTTCACGATTATAAACTCCTCCTGATCCAATTATATATCAAATTAAACTGCCAAACATGACAACCAAAAATCTTCATGTTTACTTCTAAATTCTTACTCCATAAAAAGTCTTTTCTACTGACCATGATAAAGTTTTGGAAATCCCTAGTACATTTTGTTGGGAGAGAGATCTTTCATAAATCAATATTTTGTCTTTCATTTTTTCCCTTTTAACATGATATTTCTTTAGTCTTGCGTTTTCTTTTTCTTTTCATCAATCTATTTATCTAATTTGAATAATTAATACTCACTCCGTTCAATTGAAAGTGTCCTACTTTTCTTTTTTGATTGTCTCAAAATATTTGTCATGTTTCATATTTTTAATTATTTTATACTCAAAAATTGACCTTATACCCCTTCATTAATGATGCATAAAGATAAATGTGATGGGATTGTTTCTACTTATTTTGATCAGCACATGATTAAGGGTAAAAGTGAAACAAAACAAAAAAAATTTTGATGGAGTTTGCCGTACATAAAAAGCATATATTTCCAAATATGACTACATATATGGAACAAAGGGGGTAACATTTTTGAACAAATTGCACATGCATCGAGTATGTCTCGATAGCTAGTTTTTTACATATTTTTATGAAAAGTATAAGGTTAAAGTCTAATAGCTATAACGTTTAATACTCAAATCTAGGATTTCTTGTTTAGGAGTTAACCGTCAACAAGTTATGAGTGATCACATTTTGATAGGATCTGAAAAAGATTTCTAAAATCTTGGGGGCGACAAAATTTAAATCTATAATGATATAGACGAAGACAAGTAGATATTAAAAGATTTCTAAAAATTTTATATGCTTTTGTTTTGATTGTAATTTTTCACATTAAAAAATTTTACATTTTTCATAAACGCATTATGAGTGATCACATTTTGATAGGATCTAAAAAAGATTTCTAAAATCCTGGGAGGGACAAAATTTAAATCTATAATAACACAGACGAAGACAAGTAGAAATTAAAGGATTTCTAAAAATTTTATATGGCTTTGTTTTGATTGTACTTTTTCACAGAAAAAAATTTACGTTTTCTTTGAACACATTTTTCAATTATCTTTTTTAATAAAAATTTCTAAAAATAGCAATCCAAACTAGAAGTTAGGTTGCTCCAATAATATCAATCAGATTGAGCATTTGAGCTACCCAAGTGTTGCAAATAAATTGAGCTAGCTCGCAAGCATCCTGCTAACAAATTAATAATTTTTATTAGTAGACATGTATAATTATTAATATAATTGATAATTTCAATTATATTATATATACTAATATACATTATATAATATGTATAACTAATAATATCACTATTATAAGGTTGTAACTAATTAAATTAAATATTATATATATACAAACACACACACACGTACAGATATATATTAGAGGTGATGAGGTGGGAGATGGGGCGGAGGTATACTCCCCAGCTCCTCGGCCCATTTCTTAATGGGGGGAAAAAATTTCCCTCATCCCGTTAGCTCCCGCAAGCACCCGTCTCAATTATCATCCCTATCAGTGTGCCAAAACTCGAATTGGCTAGACTTATTTGCAGCTGGCTGCCCTCCTTACCACTCAAATCGGCTAGACTTGTTTGCAGTTGGCTGCTCTTTGCCAGTGATGCCAACCTGATTGAGCTTGCCCACTGTTTGCCGTTTGGGTGGTCAAAATGCCAACCAACTAATGGATCCAGATTCTATGCAATCATTATGTGATTGTAAGGTATAGTTAAAAGTTAGAAATGAGTTAACATAAATTTAAATGGATAGAATTCATTGTAGAGCATGCATTTCAATGAGCGGTCAATTTTATTTTACTTTTATATGTTATTGTGTTTGTGTCTACTATTTTTTATTATGGTTTCTCTTTCTTTTCTAAAAACTTTTATCTTTTATAATTAATATGTGTTATTTTTTATTCATATGGATTAACTTGGATTAGAGTAATTTTATTTGTTACATTAGTAAATTCATTAACTCTACTAAAAATTAAATATTCGTTCATAAGAAAATAGATTGTTGCCTCTTTTGTATATAATTGAATATAAATATGTAGTTCTAGATCTAGAATCATTGCAAAAATATAATAATTATCTCAAAAAATTATATAAATTTTTTAGTATGTCTTGCATAATTTGATGGATATTTTTACATTATAATAAATACATCTATAGAAGCTTTTGAAGTTTGATATGAAAGTTGAACACTTAAAATATGTTAAATTTCTAAAATAAAATTAGTGAACATGTAAAAATATTTGATTTCTTTTTCATGAATTATTAATGCTTACACAAGTTCACAATATACACACACACTACTTTAATTGGGAACCTATGCCAATTCTTCTCATGCTTGTTTTTAAGGTCAATTACATCAATAGAAGAGTGGCAATGGATTGAGTTACTCACAATAGGCTCCATCAAATGCTCAATTTCAACTTGGGTTTGATCAAATTTGACCCAAGCTCGAATTGTTTGAGCATCTTGTTGAGCTTTTCACACATCCAGATGGTGTGTGTGTAACACATAATAATATAGTGGCAATAGGGGTTTAGATTGGTTTGGTTTGGTATAAATAATTTAGTATCACTTTTTTTTTTGTGATTTTAGTTTCACCCTTCTAATTAACTCTTTACCAATAAGTACGCGTAGGATCGAACTTAGGGTGCATTTGATAAACTGAAGTCTAAAACTTGAAATTTTAATCCATTAAGTTATTGAATAGTTAAATACTAAATTTGATACATTTGAGTATATATCACATTAAGTGATAAATGAATAGCTTATCAATTATTTTTTACAAAAGTTTTGCTTAGAAAATTTAGTGTCACTTAATTAATTCAAATGTTCTATTTTCGTCATCAAACACAACTAAACATATTAAGATTTGAACTCGTTAAATTTAAGTACTGAATTGAATTATCAAACATGGCCTTAATTATTTTACTGATATAATACAACTCCTTAAACTACTCAATTGCAAAATTACTTTACTATTAATTTAATAACTTCTCATCTCAACTACTATAACACAAACTAAATTGCTAAATATCACAACTTCTAAAAACTGTCACGTTTAAACAACTTCTGAGTTCTCGCTTTATAAAAATGTCTTGTCATGGAAGCCATCTTCCAGGACAAACTACTACTATATAATTGGGATTTTCATGGTGCGTTTTGCTTTGATGAAAGTTTGTTGTAGATGTGTTTTGTATGTACGAGTCTATGTTTCCTCTGTCTTTCATTTTCTTTATCTTTTTAAAAATTTCTCACTTTTTTTTGACTTCTTATAGTTTTGCATAACCATGCTATTTTTAATAAATTTTCACTATTTTTTAATCTCTTATAATTTTGCATAATTAAGCTACTTCTGTGTATGTCCATGTGTGCGCATTTCCTTTTGAGATTTTTTTAATATTATGTTATTTTAAACTCATCTTCTTAAGCATATTCAGATGTGTGTGCACACAAACATGCTAAAAATAGTGAAATTACCTAAGCCTCAATTAGTCATAGGACTTGAGTTTGGGGTGCGTTTAATAAAATTAAAATTTAAAGTCTAAATCTATTAAGTTATTGAATAGTTAAGTACTAAATTTGATACATTTGAGTATATATCATATTAAGTGATAAGTGAATAGTGTATCACTTATTTTTGTAATCAAGTTTTGCCTAATGTCACTTAATTAACTCATATGTTCTATTTTTGGTTATCGAATGCAACTAGACATATTAGGATTTGAATCCATTAACTTTAAGTGTTGAATTGAGTTATGAAACAGTGCTTTAGTTTAAACTCGCTTATTTTAATCGAGTTGAATATACTATTCATCAAGTTCAAGTCAAGGTAAATCGAGTTTGAACTTGAATATACTTAAAATAGTGAAATTACCTAAATCTCGATTAGTCATAGGACTTGAGCTTAGTTTGAGCTCGCTTATTTTAATCAAGTTGACCTCAAATGCTTGAATATAGTATTCATCAAGTTTGAACCAAGATAAATCGAGATTGAACTTGAATGTATCCGTGTTTGGACTTGACTGGACTGTTACCACGCCTACATTTCATATCATGGTTCAAAGACTTAGTCGAGTCGTCATCGGAACGAGGTTTTTCATTTCGATATCGAGACAAAATGATTCCGAGATAATGGATCGCCAAGATATTGGTTGAGATGTCTCCGAGACGGATAGAAATGATTTAGTAACTCCAAGTTATCCTGAGTCAACTCGAATTTTTATTATTTTTACTAATTTCTTTCTTTTTTTTTTTACAATTTTTAGAATATTAAATATTTCAAAAATTTGCGTATCGTCAAAACCGCAACCGATATACCGAGACCGATGTGAAATAATCGGAGCCATGGCCGCGGCTTTGAACCATGTTGCATACACAATATTTGCACCTGTAAATTTTTTTCTCCGCGAGGAATGGACAACTCGGGCAACTTTTTCCTTCCATGGAGGAAGCAAAGAGGGTTGGCTTTAGTTGAAAAAAATATGATCAGAAAAGCAAACAGCAAAGAACAGAAGAGAAAAAGCGTTATGATGCATAGCTGATGAAACCAAAAGCCTTCTTTATTATTTATCTTTTTGCGTAAAGTATGTGAAAAAGCGAATACTGTTACTAATTCCGTCTTTTATCTACAGATATCTCTGAACTTTCTCTCCCGCAAATGTCCAAAATCCAAGGAAGCATTGTATCAATTCAAATAGATCAACACCATCAATTCTTTCATCTGCATGCCGTTACTCCCAAATGAATCCACATGTTTTCATACTGGTATTTGTCAACTGTTCAAGTTCCTGAACTGCTTGGTTCACGCCATGAACAATCATTTTCTTTACCTGTTCCAGAAATGAATATTGAGTCAGACAGCACTAGGTGTTCCCATTTTAACACAATTACCCAAAAAATGATCCATAATCAAATAAATGGAAGACAGGCTGCTACCTCTAGCTTGTCTTCTCTGGCCTTGTGGTTCTTTGGAAGTCTCCTAAACTCCTCAGTCAATCGAAGGCACTCATGTAAATTTTCCGGAGAAACGAAGTCTGCAGCAACTTTTGTACAAGACTGAAAGTGCCAAAGGAAAGTTCTAAGTTGAATGAATGCATCAAAAGAATGAGCTAGAGGGGCAGATAATTTACCTTCAGATTCCGAACCTGATGTGGGCAACCTGCTGGAATAAAAACCGCCTCTCCAATTCTCTGCTCAAATGTCCAGGGCTCTATACCTAAAATGATATTATTTGTGAGTTTCTGAGCTAGTCATTAAATGCTTGAGCTAAGCTCAGTATAACATCAAGCTTTGCTCAAGCCTTCAAGTCAAATGCCTCATAAAATTTTTGAAAAAATATTAAATGTGTTTTTTTATTTGATATTGACTAAGTTCAAACTCAAACTTTATTATTTTTGAACTTGAGTACAAGCTCAAGTTTTATGCTAAGAACACGATTAAGCTTGAACTCAACCACAAGCCAGTGGCGGATTTACACTGGGGGCAGTGGGGCCCGTGGATGTAATTTTATGTGATATCTACAAAAATTTGATGTAATTTTAACTGTGCCCCTGGAGTTTTATGTATCTATTGGTTTGTAGGCCCCCATGCCCCCTTAAATTTCTATAATACCTATAAAAATTTGATGTAATTTCAAGTGTATCCCCTGAAGTTTTGTGTATCTATTGATTTATATGCTTTTAAAGTTGTCTTTGATTTTACCTGTTGTTACAGCTACCATAGAAAGGGTTTTTTCAATGATGAATATAGTGAAGAATCGGTTACAAAATAAAATGGAAAACACTTGGATGAATAATTATTTAGTTACTTATATTGAGAAAAATATACTTCGTGAAGTTCAAAATGAAAAGGTTGTAAACTGTTATCAAAATATGAAAACTCGTCATAAGCAATTGTAAATGGTTTAGTTTGCTTTTGAAATAAAATTATTATTACATTAATAATTTTGAGTTTGTCTTTTGATGTTTTTCATGAAATATATGCATCATTTGTACTTGTTGGTGAATATTTTTTTTCTTAAAAAACTAAAAAAAGAGTTGGTAAAAAATTTTAGAGTTGCTTTTGCCCCAATTAAAGTTTAAGAAATAGCATTGACCTGCCTTAAACTTATTGATTCTTGCATGTGCAGTCCAAGCTAGAAAAAGTGCCATTCAACTATTATTTTAAGGAGTGAAATGAAAATTTTGTTCCATATTTGCTAACAAAAGATTGTGAAAATTTACCTTTATACCCTAATTATTTGGAGAAACCTAATGAACAAATTTTGCAAAAGAAACCTTATTTCTTGTCAACAAATTAAGTAACTAATTAAATCACATGTAAGTGTTACTTTCACATTTTAATTTATGTTAAATACAAAACCTACTACTTTCCTTTTCGTAAAAATATTAGTGTAACACTTTTTGAATTATACTGACAAATATTCATGTATTTAACATAAATTAAATGATTCAGAATAAAATGTCCATAAATAGCTAGTACTTTGTTCATGTAATGAGGAAACTCATAAAGAGCTGATATGTTATGGGCAATTTCTTTTTTTTTTACTTTCGCATATTTAATTTATGTTAAATACAGAACCTATCAGTTTTCCTTTCGTAAAAATATTAGTGCAACACTTTTTCAATTTTAGTTACAAACATTTATGTATTTAACATAAATTAAATGATTCAAAATAAAATACCCATAAAGAGCTGATACTTTATTCATGTAATGGAAGAAAGCCATAAAGAATTAATACTTTATGGGCCAATTCTTTTTTTTAAAAAATATTTAATAATCTACCGGTTTTCTTTTTGTAAGAATATTACTGTAACATTTTTTGAATTTTACTTACAAACATTGATGTATTTATTATAAATTAATGTTTGAGAGTAAAATGCCCCTAAAGAATTGGTACTTTAAATAGGTAATGTCTATTTGTCCATAAACTATACCCCTTAAAGTTTATTATTTGTTAATTGATTTGTAGTGCTTTGTCATTCCTTTACTAATACTCTACTTGGCATGTAGCACAAAAGACAAATCTGGCACAAATTTCTCATCTCATACCCTAAAACAATATTTTAATGACACTTGTTCTAGTCTGAACCGAATATGCAAAGAATCAGTAAGTTCAAGAGAGGTCAGTACTATTTCTAAACCACAGGGAAGGTGTGTGTTAGTGTCAGAAACCTCAAGGGAGGTTTCTGCAATTTTCCCTAATATATATTAAAAAAAAGAAACAAAGTAGAAACACCTTTCATCACGCCCATAATCTTTGGGACTTCTGATCACTGGCGTCCGACCGAGCAGCTGATGGGAGCACTGAATCATATAGTAGTACTAAATTATCCCAATTTACTCAGGGATCCGATTCACATGATGTATAGGTGTTATTCACGTTGCCAACATTAAAGACAGAGTCAATTTAGATAGTCATGATTTGCATGAAAGTTTCATCAGTTACCATTGGTAAACCAGCAGCAATTACTAGAATTTTCTTGAAGTTGGTTTAGCTCTCCTTACTTTGCCAATACAGAGGTCAGGAGCCAAGGCCAATAATAGCTTTGCCATTTGTGCGATTCCATGCACGCCTCTAATCATGCACAAAAGCAACGCATGATAAACAGCAAAAGGATCTCTCCTTCTTCTTCTCCTCCTTTTTTTTCCCTTGAAATGAGCGATGTCGACAAAAGAATAGCTTTATTTATTTGACCATTATTATCAAAATTGCACTGATTAATTAATACATGGACTGATTTACAACAAACCAACCTAAAGCTACAAATAGCTACGCATGTAAATATTGATAGGAAACTCCACTAATCTGCTGTTTCCAGCAGAAAAAGCTACAGGATGCAAAATCTGCAGCATTTCTTTTCCTACTATACATCTACCACCAGGCATTGTGCTGGCGCTGCTGGCGCTGCTGGAGGTTTCACTTTCACAAGCACCGTGACTCCTTCACATTTGATCCAGTGAGACATCGCACAAGGATAATTGAGAAGTATGAGGTTCCATTCCCGAGGCAGCTTAGCTCCATGTGTGCACTCGAAATGAAGGCGAAGAGACTACCTTTGCCCAACCTTCACCTTTTTAGCATCTAAGATAACATTCAAAATTTTTCCAGGAACATATATTCTCTTCTTAACTTTTTGCCCGTCCAAGAACTTGGACAGTCTTGAATCTTGAGAAGCTAACCTAAAAGCATCCTCCTCTGAACATTCTTTTTCAACCTCTATTGTACCCCTTGTTTTCCCATTGATCTGGACAGGTAGGACAAGAGTGGATTCTTTCAAGTACTCAGGGTTGGCCTGCAATTTGAAGATAGAATTCAATCAAAGGCTCAACATGACAATATTATCCTGTTCATGATCTAGTCTATGCATGTCTCAGTACATTAGAAATTGCTGTACATGTTATGTTATCTTTTCCCTGAGCAAACTCTTCAGCTTTCTTTAATATTCTTCAACTGTAAATCATAATATGGAGTTTTATTGGTCTTGACAAGCATCAAAGAAAGAAAATGCTGAACAAAAGAACACAAAAACATCTAGAATTAGGTAAGGGATGGCAGCCTTAACAAACAAGAAAGGAGATCACAATTAGTGAGAATTAGATAGTAATATGGCTATTAACTGTACCAGGCACCTATATAAACATTCAATGCTTCAGAAGCGTTAGTGATTTTCTTCAACAAAACTCTCCACTGCTACCATTTGCTTTCTTTACATTCATTTTCCTTTTAAAGAATCTTTCTCTAAATTGTGGTCATTTTGGATACAAGGTGATTTTTTATTTTTTGCAGCCAAGAGCTTTTGTATCTATGTTGGAAAAACTGAAAGGGAATAAGTTAGCTGTTAAGTGATATTCGGACATTTTTTGCTAACCAGATAAAAAATTATTCTGTTGAGACCAGTCTCATATTTGGCTGCTCACAGCAGATCTCAAATGCATTACATATATGTATAGGGATGACAAGATATATGGTCGCATGAATTGCTGCATCAATTGAACAATTACAAGAACAAACAAAAGAAATACTGTGGTGCGATAAGCACCTGCAACAGGAGTCTGGTGGGGCTAGGGGATCACGAGACTGAGAACCCTAGCCACAGAAAACTGTATTTGAAGAAACATGCCCATACCTTGGGAAAAGGCTCATGGGCAAGGGAATTTGAATGACCCAGACGAGACCACAGCTCCTCGGCCATGTGAGGTGCATATGGCGAAAGCAGCAAAACAAATGCTTCAGCAGTTGATCTTGGAAGTTTCTTCCACTAGAAACAAATTTTAAAATTTGCAAACAGATAATCTATTCAGTAAATGCGTTGAAACCTAAGTGCAAGTAAAATGGTTCTCCTAATAATAACCATTCCATATCAACTGACATCATCTTGACATCAATGCTTAAAATCTGCTTAAAGGAAATAAGGTTCTCATTGCAAAATAGAAAAGAAATCACAGATAGGTTAAAGAAGCTAATAGAAAATCGTTAAAAGAGAAAATGAGCAGGGAAAAGAGTAAAATAATTGAAAAAGTTGAGAATTTGTTCAACAGTTTTGACCAGTTCAGGATTCTTTTTACCAGTACTTAGTCTCGTTGATTTTGTAGTACAACACAGATAAAATCGGGAAGGTTCATTCTAAAACCAGTCGAAGAGGTAACTACACCATGAATTTGAAAATTTGTCTTCCAATTTCCTTCTTCAATTCAAGGATACAAGTCCTGCCTGATATGGGAGTGACCATTTTCTAAAGCTTAGTTTGTTATGAAAAAGAAAAATGAGAGAGAGAGAGAGAGAGAGAGAGAGAGAGAGACCTTATATGCAGCATTAATGAACTCCATCATTGCAGAAATTCCTGTGTTGAACCGTGTTGCTTCAATTTCTTCTGTTACCTGTAGCATGAAACCAGTTTATAAATAGACAAAGTAAACATAAAGAGCAAATGCAATCACATGAGCCCATCAGATGCTGCAAGGAAGAAAAGCTTTAGATTGACAAGAAATAATACATTTATTGTTAACCATAGAACCTGCAATCTACAAAAGAAAAGGGATATACAAACTATGAATAGCAGAAGCCGATCCAAAATTTTGATAAATCTACCTTATCAATGCATTTATGAAGAGATCGAAGT